AGTCTTCAACACATGGGGCTGAAGATATAGCTCAGTTGGTTGAGTGCTTGCCTTGCAAGCACAGGGCCCTGGGTTTAATCCCCAGTACCAAAAACAAACAAACAAACAAAAAAACCATTTGGGGGAACATTTTACATTCAAACCATAACATCTAATTTTTTTAATATTTATTTTTTAGTTGTAGTTGAGCACAATGCCTTTATTTTATTTATTTATTTTTTTATGTGGTGCTGAGGATCGAACCCAGTGCCTCATGCGTGCTAGGCAAGTGCTCTACCACTGAGCCACAACTCCAGCCTAACATCTAGTTTTTTTGAGGTAGAAGATTAGACTATGATTTAGGATTTTTCTTATTTTTCTTTACTTTGATTTTTTTTTGCAAGAATACAATACATTATTATTAACCACAGTCATCATGTTGAAATAGATTCCCAGGAATTTTTTCATCCTAATTGAAACCTTTTGCCCTTTTACCAACGTGTCCTCATCCTTCACTTATCCCATTATCAGCCTCTAGCAACCACAATTCTACTCTGCTTCTGAATTTGACTTTAATTTTTTTTCTTTAATATTTATTTATTTGTAGACAAACAGTATATTTATTTTTATGTGGTGCTGAGGATTAAACCCAGTGCCTCACATTCGAGGCAAGCACTCTACCACAGCCCCGACGTTTAAAATTTTTATATATAAATATAATATGTTGTTTGTCTTTGTGTGCCTGAATATTTCACTTAGCATAATGTCTTCTGGGTTCATTCATGTCACAAATGATAGGATTCTCTTATTTTTAAAGGCTAATGGATATTTTTAAAGGCTAAAGGATATTCCTTTGTGTATGTGTGTGTGTGTGTGTGTGTGTTCTTTATCCATTTATCTATTGTGTTAGTCAGCCATGTAGCTGTGACCAAAATACCTGACCAGAACAACTTACAGGAGGAAAAATTTATTTTGGGCTCACAGTTTCAGAGGTTCAGTCCATGATGAGGCTATTCTATTACTTTGGGCCTCAGGGGATAGAATACCATGGCAGGAGGGTGGTAATGGAGGAAACTGCTCACCTCTTAGCAGCCAGAAAACACAGAGAGGAAGGGGAAAGGGCCTCAGGGAAGATGAACCCTCCAGGGCATGCTCTGGTATTCCAGCTCCATCAACTATGCCCCATCCTCCTACAGTTACCATTCAAATTAGGATGGACTGATTTGGTTACAGCTTTCATAATCTAATAATTTTATCTCTGAATATTCTCCAGCATTAACACAGGAGCTTTTGGAAGACACCTTATATCCAAACCAAAACATCTGTCAATGCACATTTAGATTGATTCCAAATCTTAGCTCTTATGAATAATGCTTCAATGAACATGGCAGTGTAGCCTTGCAGCCTTGACATACTGATTTTATTCCCTTTAGATATATACCCACAAGCAAGGTTGCTGAATCTTTTGGTAGTTCTATTTTTAGTTCTTGGAACCTCCATACTGTTTTGCACAATGTCTCCTTTCTTAGTACAGCTATAAGATTATAGCTGTAAATCTCTCTCAAGTACTGGTTTTAGCATATTTTCATTTTAATTCATCTCAAAATATTTTCTAATTTCTCTTGCAATTTTAATTGATTGATACTAGGGATTGAACCCAGAAGTGCTTAACCTTTGAATCACATTCCCAGCCCCCCCCCTTTTAATATTTCTTTTAGTTATGCATGGACATAATATCTTTATTTTGTTCATTTATTTTTATGTGGTGCTGAGGGTAAAACCCAGTGCCTCACATGTGAGAGGCAACTCCTCTGCCTACTGAGTCACAATCTCATTTTGAGAGAGGATCTTGTTAAGTTGCTTAGGGCCTCACTAAGTCTCACAAAATTGCTGAGGCAGGTCTCAAACTTGCAATCCTCCTGCTTTGGTCTCTTTGAGTTGCTAAGGTTACAGGCACATGCCACCATGCCCAACTGTCCTATGCATTATTAAAAGCCAATATTGTTGTATTATGTGCACAAATATGTAACAACAAATCCCACCATTATTTACAACTTCAATTCTCCAATTTAAAAAATGTGGAACAAAATGTAGGTATTGAAGCTGTGCATTGTAGCACATGATATAATCCCAATTACTCGAGAGACTGAGGCAAGAGGATTGCAAGTTACAGATCAGTTTCAGCAATTTAGTGAGACCCTCTCTCAAAATAAAATAAAACAAACTGGGGATGTAGCTCAGTGGTAGAATGCTTCCTAGCATGTTTGAGGCCCTGGGTTGGATCCTGAACACACACACACACACATACACAGGTGCGGACGCACACACAAAATGTGTAATGAAGTCTCTAGCTTTTTTGGTTGACTTGTTTGGTTGACAGTTTTTGCTCCATATGTTTTAGAGCTTTTTTGTTTCACCCAACTTTATGCTAAACAAGAACAAGACTAAATCATAATTGATAATAATTGAAGTTCATTAAAAAATGTCACATTGAAAGTTGGTCTTGGTGCTGTGTACCTGTAGTCCCAGCTACTACGGAGGTTGATGCAAGACAATCATGAGTTCAAGGCCAGTTTGGACAACACAGGCAAAATAGTGAAACCCTGTCACACACACACACACAAAATAGTGAAACCCTGTCACCAAAAAATAGTGTGTCAAATCATATATGTGCTTATCTTGCTTAAAATCTTGTTTATCAGGCTGAGGGTGTAGCTCAGTGGTAGAGCACTTGTGTAACATGCACAAAGCCATCTCCAGCATCACAAAACCAAACCAAACCCTTACTTATCATTATATATCAATTTTTTATTTTAGTTTTTATACACAAATTTTTAATAGGAAATAATTTATTTTGTGCTTTTGATTTTCCTGGGAAACATACAAAAACCACAAGTAAGTCTAATAAAATTTTAATATAAACTCAAAGCCTCTCTTCTTCTGAACAAGGGCCATAAAGTCCTAGTCTGACTTTTGTGTCATGCCTGGAGAATGTGGGGCCCATCCAGAATTATTAGTGATGAGAATTAGGGAACCAGGGTGGAGTCCAGGATGGTTATGCCTGAGAAGCTCAGAGGTAAAGCTGTGAGTGGAATGAAAGCATAGTACAATTGAGAGGCCAGTTACAGGCACTGGGGAAGAAAGAGGGAACAACTATCTTAAGTGAAACAGATTATATCCCTGGGCCTGAATGTACTGGGCCCAACCATGGTCTGGCTCATAAGAGCTGGGAGGTTTAGAAAGTGACCTATATCTCTTGCAATATCTCAAGTACAAAGATGAATGTGCAGGGAATTAAGCACTTCTTGTCCACTGCAGGATGGACTCCTGGTGGATGCTGGCAAAGATGCCTGATAAATATTGTGAGAGGTAGTGAAGGTAGGTGGTTCATCTTAATTTTGAATTTGGTTTCATCTATGAAGGGACAGGGATGAGACCTCAATTTCCTTCTTTAATATGGGGTCCTCCTAGCTCTAAAACATCTCCTTCTGGAAACTTTCTTTAATAACTACCATCCTATTTCACCACCCTTGCCCAAAGAGGCTCCCTCTCAAGTACTACCTGTTTCCCCACTACCGACTCCTCCAATGGTGAAGAAGCATCAGATGAACTTATCCCTACCAGAATGGGTTTAAGTTCCCCCCTATTAAGGGCATGGAATAGAAGTTTTAGAAAAACAAAATGCCCTCTTGACCTTCAAAACAATGCCTTATGTCTCGATAGAAAGCACTTGCTTGAATTGAAGACCTAAAGGAATGAATTTATGATGGGAGAATTTCTGTTGAAATTCTTGTGCTGGTGTGGGATCCCAGATAAGGCTTCTGTATTTGAGGAGTACAGACTGACCTCTCCAGGAATCCAGCCCTTGGCCCAGCTGTTTCTTCTTTTCTACAAGAGGGTTGAAGGGCAGAGCCAGCTCCTGCCGCTGTCCCCTTGAGTTTCTGCTATAGGTACACAGAAGAACCTGCTCCCAGACTCCCTCCATCCTGCTTTGCTTTCCACCCCTCCCCCATCCTGCTTGGGACTGTGAAATAGGAAGTCAAGAGACTGGACTCCAGAGGGACCTGAGAGGGAAAAACAGTACAAGGATACAGAGCACATGAGGCACAGTCCCGCTGAGCCAAACAATGGCAGGAAAGGAAGCCACCCAGTAGCCACTGCAGTTTTTCTTCAAGGCTAAGTCTGAGCAGACCTCTCCTGGCAAGCATGTTATACAACTATTTCAGAACAGAAGGTAGTATTTCTTCAAATGCTTTTCAAAATAGGTGTGTGTGTGTGTGTGAGAGAGAGAGAGAGAGAGAGAGAAACAGACAGAGGTGTGAGAAAGATCCAGATCTTTGAAGACTTGAACACCAGTTTGGATCCCCACCTACTCAGGACATGATTGAATTTCAGAAAGATTTCCTTGGCTGCTGTGAGAATTGGATTTAAGGGTTTGAGAGTGGAAAGAGTTAGGAGGTCACTGCATAGTCCCCCCTTTCAATTTTGAGGCAGTCAAGGCCAGAGGCTCCCAAGAACACAAGGTTGCAGAATGGGAGCCTACGCCCCAGTCCCAGGTTTCCTGCAGTGGTCATTCAATCCCTCCCCATTACTTCTAGGGAAGGAAGCTTCCCATTACTGCATATCAAATACCCCTCCCAACCAGACATAGGGGAGACCTGTTAAAAGCTCCTTGGAGGAGCTTTGGGACCTCCAGATCCAGATGTGCAGGGAGAGAGACAAACCTAGAATGCATCAGAGTTGCTGGCAAGAATGGGGGACAGATAGGACAAGACTGGAAGGGGCTGGGAACTGTGATCTGGAAGAATTCTTGTGTGTGTGCGGGCGCGCACAAGTGCGTGCATGTACAATACTAGGGATTGAGCCCAGGGTGTTCTGTCACTGAACTGCATAACCCCTCCCTTTTAATTTTGAGACAGAGTCTCCCTAAATTTCCCACACCGCCTTCAAACTTTGAATCCTCCTGCTCTAGCCTCCAGTGTAGCACCAGAACCCTTGTTTTTAAGCAAGAAAACAAGAAATGGTATAATAGCTACCTTTTATTGAGCACCTACTTTATGCCAGGCACTTTACATAGTCTGTGCTTATAATTCTCACAATGACCTCAGAGGTAGGCATCATTATCACTTTTTATGTATGAGGAAACTGAGATAAGTTTAAGCAGCTTGTTTAAGATCACACAGCTGATTGATGAGTGAGTGATATAATCGGCACTAATGAGATGTGCATCTTGAAGGACCCAAGACCTTTGACAGGTATTTTCCACACTAAGAAAATAAAGAGGAGGGGCCAGGGCTGTAGCTCAGCCGCAGAGCACTTGCCTAGCATGCGTGAGGCACTGGGTTCAATCCTCAACACCCACATATATGACTACAAAAAAAAATTTTTTTTAAAGAAAAGAAAGGGGATAGAGAGGTGGGTGAAGGGAAGAATTCTCTAGGGGGTGGGACACTAGTTCTGCTGTCAGAGCTGTTGAGGAAAACTGAGCTCCACTCTGCTTTCCCATATCTCCCCTCTGACAAGCCACTCCTTCCCAATAGTCAGCTACAAAGTCAGGAGAAACTCTGGCTGAGATTGATCTTCTCAAAAAGGAAAAATGACTGAGATGAAAGACCTTACTTACCCTGTATGTGTATTGGCAGGTGTCACTGTGTGCATGCCGCTCCAGTGCCAAAGCATACCACTGCCAGAATAAGAACACTGCTCACTTTTAGGTCACACTCCTGCCACATGTGCAGAGTGAGATACCAAAGGAATAGTTAAGAGTTGTTTATTTCCTACCAGAGTCCAGGGAAACCACGGGGGGGGGGGGCAGGTCAACAATCAAAGCCTCAAATTTGCCCCTTGCCCCCTTCCTCCAGGCTTATCTAGCTTCAGGGATACTGTGTTTATTCTGTGGATTCAGGGACCCATGGTGTGTGCCATTCTTTCTCTCTCTCTCTCTCTCTCTCTCTCTCACACACACACACACACACACACACACAGTTCTTGAGTTAAGGCACTAAGTGTGGTCTGCATGGCCTTGGAGTCTGTGCCCATCAAGCACTTATAGCCAGTGACTGAGCCCATGTGTGTACACAGATGGGTTAGTGCAATATTAGGAGTCTCTTCACAAACAGGGACAAAAGTGGTGACTCTGGGCTAGGCCTTCTGTTCTCTAGGAGGGAACCTCCTGTCTCCTTGTCAATTGTTGAAACACCTGACTTCTCCCCAGCTGGAGTAGAACCAAGTCAGCCACAGTTCAGATATGTGCTGTGAACTCAGGGCCTGGCTTCTAACACCAAGAATGTATACTTTCTGAGTGTGGCAGGGAATATTTGGGGGACTTTTAGGAGGACAAAGATGGCCACGAAGGCCAGGATGGAGGGGAGAGGTTTCTCTTTGTGCTTTTAAAACCGGACCATAAGTAACAAACAAACAAACAAACAAAAAAAGCCAATCTTTCTCCTCTGAGCTCTCTGACTCCACCTCAGGAAAGAGGTTTCTGTAAACTGGAGTAAGTGTGGAGGGAAAGGGAGCTATTAGGATTGTGCATTGGTGCCAGAGGTTGATTTGATGTCCCCTGCTTCGGTCCCACCTACAGCAGTTGGCTCCAGCACATTTAGTTCAACACCCACATAATGGGTAGTACAGAGGTGGAGATCTCCGGAAATGTGTGTTCGGGTGTGATGGAGTTAAAGATCTGTATGAAAGCTAGGGTTAGAGCTGTGGGGTTCCCGGGCCCTGGGCTGAGTCAGGACGCCCAGGTGAAGTAGGCAACCTCGTCCAGGTCGACGGGGTAATCAGTGAGCAGCACTGGCGTCTTGTCGAAAAGCTCGCCCTTGTAGCTGCGCCACTTGCCAGCAGGCAGGTAGACGTCGCGCTCCTGCTTGCCTGGCTCCAACACCGGCGCCACTAGCAGCGTGTCCCCGATAAGGAACTGAGAGTCAATGCGGTGAGCTGTCTCGTCGCCGGGCGCGATCCACCAAAGGGGGCGCACTATGGGGTCGCCAGTGTCCGTGACCTCACCGGCGAGTTCCAGCAACAGCGGTGCCACAAGCGAGGCCCGCAGTGCAGCGAACTTGTGTGCAATGGTCACCACTTCTGCGTCATATTGCCAGGGCGGGATTGAAAACTGCATGGCTGGCATGAAAGCGGCCACCTCTAACCAGCGCACGTAAAGCTCGCGCTCCGGACCATCTCTGCCGCCAGCTGTGCGCTCAGGGACTGCGTTGCCACCCACCATATCTGGCAGGATGAATGGGTAGCCCAGCATGCTGACGGTGAGCACCGCTGGAATGAGCGAGCGCAGCCCCAAATCATAGCCCCACACCGAGTCGCGGTCCACCAGGCGGAAGAAGCATGAGATGTTCTGTGACTGGTAGCCCACACGTACCTCGGCCAGTGAGAAGAAAGGCAGAGCCATTTCAGTGTAGCGCCGGCTCCATACGCTGGGGTCAGGCAGCGATCTATAGGTGCTGAAGTCCCGCGGCAGGTAGCTGACTTCACCCGCGTCGAATTTAAAGGAGGCCACAGCGTAGCGCGAACGCAGGCGTCTCAGGTGTCCCTGAAACCAGTCGCGGGCCTCTGGGCGCGTGAAGTCGAGCACCGCGCCAATGCCATTCCACCATCGCACAAGCGCTGGCAGCCTGCCTGTGGGTTCGCGCACGAACAGCTCACGCTCCACGCCCTCGCCGAAACGTGAGGAGTTGTAGTTGACAAATGGGTGCACCCAGAGTGTGACCCGGAAGCCAGCGTCTCGCAGGCGGCGGAACATGTCGCTGGCGTTGGGGAATTTGGCCTCGTCGAATTCGAAGTCGCCGTAGGCCGGTGTGTACATGTCGTCAATTTCCAGGTGGCTGCTATTGAAGCGGTGCTGGCGGATCTGCTGGGCAAAACGCAGCACCTTATCCTGGTCCACAGCACGCCCATAGAGCGCCCACGTGGACCAGATAGGGTCTCTGAAGGCCTCGGGCGCTGGCACCCTCGATGGTTTGTTGAAGTAACGCCGCACCATATACTTGTGGATGGAAGTGACGTCTGAGCCGACGCATACCCGGTAGCTGAGCTCTGGTGCTGCGGTGCGTCCAGCAGGCGGCTTGTAAGGCGTGTCGTGGTAGCGTGCCTGGAGCCGCATCGAACGCTCCGTGCTATTCCAGCCCAGGTGGAAAGGCACTGAGTCGTTGACTTTGATGGCAGCTGCGCGAGATGATAGCCAATAGCGCTCAAGTATGCCCCCAAATGCGGCGTCAGAAGAGTAGACATCGCTAGTGACAAATGGCTGCGGTTCCAGATGGCCCTCCAGGCGGATGGGCCAGTGTTGCGTCCTCATCTCAGCACCGCCATACCAATGAGCAGCCGCATCGCCCAGGAACATGGCATGCTCCACCGCACGTCCTGGGGCTGCTTCCTCCCAGCGCACGCGATAGCACATGACGGTGTCCTTGGGCCTCACAGTCTGGATGAAGAAGTGCAGTGGGCGCCCATCCGCCGTGCGAGAGCAGCCAAGCAGGGCGCCCTCGCGGCTGCAGGAGTCGAGGTCCAATGCTCCAGAACGGAAGGCTAAACGGAAGACTTGCTCGCCCTTCTGGTTTCGGATGGAGAAGCCGCCACGGTTGAGGTCCAGCAGCTCTGCGCGAAGGCGTTCTGCTTTGCGTAAGGAAGCGCTATAGTAGCACCAGGCCACTACCGCGGCCAACACCAGCAGCAGCCCCAGCACCGCGGAGCCCAGTAGTGGCCTCAACTCTTTGGACGGCTTGGGCTTGGAGGGAGAGAAGTTGTCGGGCAGGAAAGTGTACATGGCTGTTGCTTCGACAGCCTCAGAGCTTTTATGGCCTGTGTGGTGACCAGGGCGGCGGCGGGGGTAGGCCTGGCTCCTCTTGAAGGTTCTGGGGCATCAGCCTCCAGCTAAGGAAGGAGCTGGTAGTTGGTCCACTTGACCAAGCCCATCTGAACCTCACCTGTAGGACTCTGAAAGCCGGGGAGAGGAGTAGGGAGGAGGGGAGTAGGGAGGAGGGGAGTAGGGAGGGAGGGAGGGAGTGGGAGAGAGGGAAAGAGGGGGAGGGAGAGAGAGAGAAAGAGAGGAGACTGAGCTTTCTCATTCCATAATATTTTCATTTGCTGTGGCACAGTGGGTACTAGAGATGTACTGGAACCTAAGGTCTTGATGAGTAGAAAAGATGACACCAGAACAGTCTGCCTGGGTCCCACCTGTCCTTTCTCATGGGCTCCAAGTTCTTGACAAAATGAGTCAGGACTCTGAATGGGGAGAATCATGTAATTGGCAAATGGCATGCTTCCCCTTTTTCCTGATGGAGAAACAAACCCAGAAAGGGTCAGGGTGCTGTCCTGGACCACAGGATAAATCAGGCCTACTGGGTGACACATGGAGCAATTCAGGTTTAAGAGGGATGGAAATGGAGAGAGTCTTGTCTCCCAAAGGCAAGGCCATGGTAAGAGAGGGGGATGGTCCAGCCAGTTCCTTGAGAACCCCCATATCAGGAATTCAAACCAGAGGTGCTTTACCACTGAGCTGCACCCCTAACCCATTTATTTATTTATTTTTGAGGCAGGATCTCACTAAGTTACTCAGGCTGGCCTTGAGCTTGCAATCCTCCTACCTCAGCAGACCCAATATTGGGATTACAGGGGTAAGCCACTGCACCAGCTCCTTGAGAGTTTTAACAGGGCAATAGGATAGCTTCCCTGTACCCAGAGGGGAAAGGAGGAAGAGGAGACAGCTCAGGCATGGAATTTTATCTTGAGTTAGAAGCCAGATGACATTTTGAAATTAAAGAAGATAGTCCAAAATCAGACTCAATCCCAAGGCTTGGTTTAAAGGGAGGCAGGGGTTAGTGCTGGGGTCAGGATATGCCTTCTCAAATCAGCCCCTTTGCCATAAAACCCCACCTAGTTCTGAATCATTAACCAACATTCCATTTCTCTGCCCACCTTCTTTCTTTGCTCCAAACATAACATCTGTGCATCACCTGCTTCCTAACTTTATCTCTACCACTTACCCTCTGTACTGCTGTCCCTGCCTTAGTTTGGATACTGTCACTTCTCCCCTATACTATTGCAACACTTCTCCAGTAGGTCTCCCTACCCCCAACTTCTTTTCCTCTAGTGTCTTCTGCTCACAACAACTAAAGTGATCTTTCTAAAGCACTTATCAAACCACATCTGTGCTTACTTCAAGAGATGCTCATGGTAAAATTCAGATCTGCAAGCTTTGAAATCAAGGTTCAAGACATTCCTTAGCTACCTTTCTGATTCTATCTCTAGCCAGGCCTGTCCAGTGACTTATCAAGCGCATTCTCTCAATCTAAATTTTTTCAGGCCACCTGCTTCAGAAGATTTCACACTCGGCCTGGTAACTCTCCTTCACCTACAAGCTCTCTAGTGATCAGACTGACCACCACACATATAAAATTTCACATACTATATGCTGAACATCTGGATATGACTGTAGAGAAATAAAGGCTTGGGGGAAAGTTTGTGTCTGAATCCGCTGCTCAAAGTCAATGATCCTTCCTGTTCCCAACCCTCAGGGCAGAGTTCAATAAAAAAACACCACCACATGTACACACACAGGCAGATACACTGCCAGCTAGCTGGCTGCCTAGCTGCTCCAGCTGGGGTGAAGAAGAGATGGAGACTGGCAAACAGTAATTAGCCTCCTTCCAGATGCCAGTGTCTGTGTCTGTCTCCAGTGACTTCCAAGGAAATGCTGGAACTACTCAGATTCTTTAACTCTTTTAGCTTCCCCTCACAGAAACTATCAAAAATGCCAAGTGCTGATCAGAATATTGATTGTAGATGTCAATACACAGCACCTTCCATACCCTTTCCTCAAGTTGCTCCCTCCCCCTAATTCCCTAAATTTTTCAGTCTCCCTGGTCTAGAACAGCCTCTTTCACTTCCTCTAAGCACACACAACTTAATTTTGCTCCTCACTTCCTATAAGTACAGGTTAGAAAAGTCCTCCTGGAAAATGCATGCAGTTGCCTTTTCTGACATGCTCAAAGTTGAGCAGAATCCCAAGAAGGCTTTAGAGGACCAGTCCATATTTGCTATATTCATTCGTTTAAGACAATCATGACTTCATTTCTGGATTCTAAGGGAATATGTGAGAGGCTTCATATCTAAATAGGACAGAGACGTCCTCATCCTCAAAACTTTATATTGTCAGCCTGATTTCATGACTTTTGGAGGTATAAAGAGCCTGCCCACCTTAGTGACCTCAAATGCCTCAAAAGTCATTTCTAACACTTGGGTTCTGAGAATCTTAACTTTTTGAATCCTAAAGTTTTTTGATATAGGGTCAGGTGGCCCAGGCCTGTAATCCCAGCCAATGGGGACTGAGACAGGAGGATTCCAAGTTCCAGGCCAGCTTCAGCAACTTAGCAAGGCCTTCAGCAACTTAGTGAGACTCTGTCTCAAAGTAAAAAAATAAGAAGGGTGAGGGTGTATGTAGCTCAGTAGTAGAACTACCCTGGCTTAAATCCCCAGTAAAAATAAATAAATAAATAAATAAAATAAAAATTTTGTCTTCATTGATGACAGGCAGGAGCCAACTGACCTGGGCACCCATTCTGCCGGGCACCATTCTGGTCTCCCAAATGTACCACAACATTTAACCCTAACGATAATATGGAATGGCAGAGGTAGGTTAGTGTCCATTTTACAGATGAGGAAACAGTGGCTCAAAGAGACAAAGGGGCTTGTCCGAAGTCACCCAGGCAGTAAGTCTGCTTCCAAATTCCCACCTCCACTCTCCACAGCATATTTTGGGAGATGGGAGATAATGGTCTGATTTGGTTACCTGAAATGCACAGCAGGCTTCCATCAGATGGGAGTGGGCATGGTGAGGCGTCTTTTAAAGGTTGGTGCTGTGGATTGCTCTGGGCCAACCAGAAAGATTCTAAAGGTGGGAAAGGGACAATTTTTCTTTGAAAGGGGCCATTTTAATGATATCTGGTACCAGGGCTGTGGGGTAGGAATTCTGTGGTTCGGGTGCGAAGTCATTAGAGACCCCTGTAATCTGCCGTCTCCACCATCTGGCCAATGGCCAACCACAGGCTAAGGCTAAGCAAGTGGGGTCTGCGGGTCGGGCCTTCTTGGGTCTTTTCCCGCTCGACATTCAACCGCAGTCTTGGCTTCCAGCCCCTGGTCTGGTCTGAGGGAGAGAGCCCAGCTTGGCTCAACTGAGTGGGGGCCATTTCAGAGACGTTTGTTGGACACGGTTGGGGGATGGGGCGGGTGGAAATGTCAAAGGCAACTCGATCCGGCCCATCTCCCTCCTCTGCAAGATCCGTGAGGATCGAGTGACTGCACCTACACCGCCTGGAATACTCCACACCCACTCTCAGCGCCCCACCGCAATTTCATTATTCAAAGGGGCAGACGGAGGTCATGGGACCTGCCGTCTGTTAGGAACCTTGGACTCGAGGAGGTGCCCAGGTGTCCTGGATCGCTCCACCTACTCTTCTGTAAGAGCGAAAGTTCAGAAATAGTGCTCCCTCAGCAGTCCTCCTACCCGCATCGTCCCGAAGTCCTTCCGCTGGATTCACTCACTGCTGTGGCCTCCGGTAAAGGTGGGAGTGAAAGGATCCTTCTGCAGACCCCCTCCACACTAGCAGGAATTGAGCTGCCACCCCGCCGCGCTGGGCGCAGCCTCGCTGGGCTCAAGAGTCCCTCCTCGGGCCCCGCCCTCGGACTACTCCGCCACGCCCCAGTCGTCCAATCTCTCTTGGGCCTCTGGCTCCAGCCCCGCCCTTAGTGCCCGACACTTCCCCCATATTTTCAAGAGGACCTGAAGCCTCACCCTTTAGCCTCCACCTTCACGCCCGCAGCTCTACTCCAAGCCCCTGGCATCTCAAGCCCGCCTCCAGCTGGGGTGCCTCCGGGCTCGTTCTTGGGCTTGAGGACCCGCCCTTTCTGGGCCATTTCTTACCCTCGAGCGGGCGGGTCTTTGCCCCAGGCCTATTGGGTAATGTAGTTCTGAAGAACGTTGGGGTTCTTGCACCTCCAGGCTAGGTTTGGGATAATTATGAGAGTGAGAAAATAAGCTTCGACATAAAGGGGCAGGGCTGGCCTTTGGGTTCAGTCCCCTCCAGGTTTGGGGAGGCTGTACCTGTATAACGCTCTCAGTTTTCTCATATGGAAAAAGAAGTAGCGCAATATTGGGAAGATGTCAGCTCCCACTGCAGGATAATTCCCAAATCAAGGGCCCCAAGGACAGGGCTTGTAGTTCACACAGCCAGTGGCCTAAACTTTCAGTTCTCATTGGACCGGATCAGTGGTGTCCAAGATCAGGCACTGAGAAGACCGGTTTCTGCTCAGTTATTTTACCAAGTCTCTCTGTCACCTTCCCACCCTAGTTATTTATAGGGTCAGCTGCTCCTCCTAGTGATAGACAGCCTTTAGTTAAATGTCTGTGCTTTGGAGAGGTGGGAGTGCCCCACCATACCCCTTCTCCTGGAGTGAGGGATGGTGCAAGACTCTTGAGATATCATCTGTTTGAGAGAAAGGAAAATACTGAAGATTCTGGTGATTCGCCCCACCCCTTGCTCCTCGAGGGACTAGAAACCTGTCTTGGTTATTTGAAATTTCTTGGTTATGATATCCTCCAAAATTATGTTTTAGACCCTTTGGACTTGGGTCGGGGAGGGCAACAAGGGTGTCTGAGATGACTTTTGGGAAGCTGTAATGGAGACTCCAGGAGCAGGGAGCAAGTGTTTTGAGTGTAGGGATACAGCTTTTACTGTGGAAAGGAGGATTCTGTTCCTCTGAGATATAGGCTGGCATCTAAGTTTGGGGCATATTGAGGAGCTATGGGCTGGAGGGTTTTTGTGGGGGTGAGAAGTAGATGGATCCTTCCTGCATGGTTAGATGG